CCAACCTTTTGCTGCTTTTAGCATTTAACCAACCTTTTGCTGCTTTTAGCATTTAACCAACCTTTTGCTGCTTTTAGCATTTAACCAACCTTTTGCTGCTTTTAGATTTTAGCTATCTATTTCCTATTTTTAGCTTTTGTTCGTCTGCTTTCATCAGTAAACTTGCCTTTTAATTTCTAACTACCCTTTTGCTGCTTTTTTACTTTTAGCAAGCTTTTTGGTACATTTAGCCTTCAGTTCCCTCCTTTTAGGTTTTAGCTCGTGCTGTGTTTTATAGCTTTCAGCTAGTGTTCCACTTCTTTTAGCTTTAACGACTTAGTTTCATCATTTTCATCAAATTTCATCAATGTCATTCAGCTCTCAGCGTTCACTCTGTTGCAGGAAATGTTTCTCTTGTCAGTCATTGATGACTGCATCCTGACTGATGATAAATGTAATATCTCTCTCCTCTCTGTAAATACCCCTGTCTGCACCTGAACTAGTAAAAGCAGAGCAGTCTGAACATTGCTGAGGGCTCAAAATAAAAAATCTATTCCCGGTTTCTCATCCTCCAAACATGGCTGAGCTGTGAACCGGACCAGGACACTCACGTATTTCCAGCCCAGAGTCGTCTTGCAGTTCTCACAGTAGATATCCGCCACAGCGTGCAGGCCCGTCAGCAGAACCCTCTCCTCCGCAGGGCCACACCCAACGTTCACCCTGAGAGCAAACGAGGAGAGGAGGAGGCGTGAGCAAAAGTTTTAAAAATACACTTGTGATGAAAGAAGCCTCTGCCCACTCAGACGGAGCAGAGCGACGAGGCAGCGCGATGGATTCAGACAGCCTCGTTTTCAGGCTCAGTTCAGCTGATTAGGACTGGGCTCTGAGGCGCGGCCCGGTTGTCTGGAGCTTCAGAAGAAGCTCTCATGGGAAACAAAYGTATCATTAACCTGAGCAAAGCAGATCACTTCCCCTCCTGGCTAAACTTCAGCATGCACAGCAGTTTTATTTCCCTTTTTTTCCCCCCTGTAAAATCTTGTGAGCAGAAGGGGGGAGAGTTCGGATCAATACTCACACTGAGTTGAAGAGGTAAGCTCTGCCCTGGCTGCCCTGGAATGACTGCAGAGAAGAAGATGAAACAAAAATAAAAAGGCAGGAACGTGAACTGTTCCTAGAATCATTGTTTTTTTCTTTAAGTGGGAAAAAGTTCAGTTTTTACAAGAGATGAAARTCAAGCTGCATAAAATTGTACATTTACTCCAAACTGCTCTCTTAGTTCATTTAGCACAGCCAGTTTATAACCTGCACAAGCTTTTTGCACTCAGGTGAGCGTGCTGTCATAATCCCACTTGGGAAAAGCAATGATACATTCATAATCCAGCTTATAGCGTTAGTCGCTCACAGTCATAAAGGTGGCTGACACATGCGCAGGTGTTCAACCTGCTGTTTAGTTTTATAATTCCTCATCTGCTTTACGTCTTTATGTCCGCAGTAATGCTCTTTTAAATAAAAACGTATCCTTCTCGCAGCTGCGTGAATGAGAGCTGTGTTCTGTTCGAGTCGATGCATTACAGAGCTGGTTACCTTGCTGATGAGCTCGTCATGGTTGGCCAGGTGAGCCCGGCAGTGGATGCAGCTGTAGGTCCGGTGGCAGCTCGGCAGGTACGCCTGGAAGGTCTTGGARCGCGTCATCCTGACCATGGGCGGTGTTGGCGGGCGGTGCAAGAAGGGACTGCCAGCCCAGGTCGGCTCACAGGGGAAGCACCGTAACACACAGGTGAGGGCCGTGGTGGGCGGTGGGTCGGGAGGTGAACACCTGGACACAGGAGGGACGATGAGACAGCTGGAACCCACAAAACCTCTGTCATGCTGGTMCAATGTGAATTAACAGTGAGTCTGTGTTTTTGGGTGAAATACAATACAACCGTTTTAGACACCGGTAAAATAAAAAAAGAATTGGTATTCCCTGAAGGATAGCATATCATCCACCACCTCAAAGTCTGAAAAACTCACTGAGTTGAAGCCATTTTTGTGTTTGCTGAGGTTGATCAGCTATATTTTGCTGACAGGCAAACAAATGAACTTACACACACACAAAGACACAAGCTGAGACATGATTGCCCTCCATCGCAAAAGGCAGACGATAAAAATAGAGCACACACTGTGGTGACGCTAGCTCCCAGATCTTCTCAGCGGACTTTAGTTCTGTTTTTTTGGTCCTAATTTATCCCAGTTTATCTGCATGTTTGTGTGTTTGTACATCTACTGCTCMTGTGGTTGGGTCTGYGTGGCAACAAGTCCRGTAAWGAAACTCAGACGTYCCTCTCCCCAGCAGAGAGGTGTCAGACATATTCACATTCATCACTCAAAGGGCATTATAATCAGAACCACGTCAACTGACTCCTTTCGACGGGGAGGAGCAGCGACTCCACGGATGATGGAGCTCCCCGCTCTAGCTCCAAGAAATATCACCTTATGATGGAAAACAAAATCACWACCTTAACGTGTTGGAGGAGTTTCRGTATTTGGGGAAAACAGGCCTCAGAGGAGAGGTCAGACTAAGAGCCATTGAAATGCTTTGATGGATAAAMATGAAGTGCATCAGGAACCTGGAAAATGAGAACCAGGGAAGCTCCCTGGAGCAGGGCCTGAGGGAGAAGGAGCTCGGCTTGTGGTTGAGGCTTACAAGCATTGATTAATAAACTTTACTAACACCGTCAGACATTGTTAAAGGTGTTCCACAGTTTCTACCATAGGTTCAAACACGTTTAGCCTCACAGATTTATAAATCTGATGACTTTCTGCCCGCTGATTATCTGTCGGCAGCAGCRCCGGTTCACATTTTAAATCTCTGAGGCTGCAGAGGTAATCTGCTGAGTTTAGCACAGCTGTGAGGATCGTGCCGCACTCGCTCCATGACATCCAGCCGAGATTGTGCCCTTAAAATACTCACACTGGTGAGCCCTGCCCACCGAGGAGATTAGGAGAGACGGGCGGTCTGGGAACCCGGCCCAGGGCCCAGGAGGGTCAGGGTATATTTTGACAAGCCCCGCATTTTAGCCGTGACTAAACCATTGGTGGCCCGAGTTTTCTATCATAATAAAGTTTTGTGTTTTGGGCGCTTCATTCAGTTTCAATTGTGTTTTTAGTGCTGCAGCTTTCCTGCAACAAACATGCTAATAATAAGAATCTACTTTTTTTATTATAAAAAGCTGTTCCCCTTTGTACAAGCCTAACTGGGATTTATACAAATATCCAACAGGAAAACACAAGTTCTGAATCCTTGACTCTTTTTTTATTCTAGCCTTGTATTTTTAAGGAGATGATGACCTTTACAACATATTGTAGTGCTCTGTTTTCTCTTCCATCATGTCTGTTTTTATGGCACCATTTGGAAAAAACTCGTAAAATCCTTATTGAGATCTGGAGAGCCTCTTCACGTTACTGCTCTGCAATACTGTATATATACTGTATACATATAAAAATATTTTATTTATTTATTTTTTGTTTATTGCCTGACAAAGGCTGATAAAGACTCCGGGTGCACATGGGAAGGACCCGAGGATATAAATAAATAAGGCAGAGAGACGTGGCCTTGTTTTTCCTCTCCTCTGACTCGGTGCCCTCGGCGTGGGACTGGGGAACAAAGACACAGTCCAGTTGTCAGAGCTGACCCTTGACACACACACAGACGAATGTTTAACCAACAGCATACTTTATCCTTTCAGTCATTTCAGGACAACCCTCTGAGATTTGTTGAAAATGTTGAGTTCTGTGAATCATATACAGCGTTACGTAAATCAAGTCAGAGAGCTTGTTTGATGTAAATTCTCACCATTTTTATGCATATGGWCTTCATTAATAAGGACATCAAACTGACTGCATAAAGCTGTCTTATTATATGAGTTGCTAGTCTTATATGATCCAGGAATGTGAGTAAATCTTTTTAGGCATCGGCAGCAGCTTTTTGTTATAAGTCACTGAAAGTAAAAGAACCATAAATATGACTGAAGTCTGGATGATGAATTCAAAATGAGGAACTCTGCAGGTATGTTTTAGTGTAACTCTAAGTTCTCTGAGACTGTAATGTTCCCTCGAGGGATGATGTAACCTGGTCTCTTAACTTCTTCTGAGGTTTGTTGGAAGTTGTTGTTGTTGGCCATAATGGAGCATTTGGCTTGTGTCAAAAGCTCTGAATGAAAACTAACACACCGGACTGTCGGAAATAAAAACTGATATTCCAGTGCAGCTCCGGTGTTTAAAGAATGAATTCAAACGGATCTGTTATTAATGAACAGTTTCTGCTCATCAGCTTTAAACGTGAACACATTTCAGTCTCTTCTTCTGTTTCAGACCCAGTATATCCGTTCATAAACTGTCTCCAGTATCACTTCTATTAGATTAGGTTCAGAACTTTTCCTTGGTGGTTTCAAACCAGCAGCTTTCTTTTTTTGTGGCCTGTCTTGTTGCAATGGCCACTTGACTCTGTTTCTATACATTTACCTTTAAAGTTTATAAACAAAACAAAAGTATTTATCCCATTCATTAGGACAAACAGTTCTGGTCCAGATGCAGTAAAACATACCCAAACTATTACACTGCCAGCTCTATGTTTCACTGCAAAAACGTCTTATTTTAAACAAAAAGTCATGTTTTATCACAATTTTTTTATCAACATCTTTCAATTTATGAGATATTTAGTGATATTTAGGAATGTCCTTTCCTTGTTTGTTGTGGTTCAGTGTTCACCAATGATGGCAGGCTGGAAATTAAGATTAAAGTGTCTACAACCAACGGTTCTAGGGCCACATGTGGCTCCTCAGTCCCTCTGCAGTGGTCCTGTGTAGCTTTAACCTAAAATAATTTGACAATGAACCTAACCGACATTTAGAAGGAGCAAAACTTGTTGGTTACACCATGCTACTGGTTTGTTAGCCCGTTAGCCACCTCATTGACTCATTTATTATTGTTGTCTTGCAAACAAACGAAAAGATTAGAATTCACTGAAATAAAGAGTTCTGCCAGAAAATATGACAAGTCATTTTCATAAGAATTAAAATAAATTCTTACATTTGATTTAAAAAAATGTATGTGAAGTTAAAAGGTGCCTCTTTTAGTTTAAAAAAATCACAAACATCCAGCAAACCAGTTAAATGTTATGTTGGTTTATTGCTTTATTCCCAATACACCAGCTTTATTATAAAGTGGAGTAGTTATGCTATTAGATTGTTACAAATACAGGACTCTCATGGACCTGCATAATTTACAATTTAAACAGGAGGCTCTGTCAGGGTGCATTTCCTTCATATACATCCTTWAGCTTGTTTTTAGATTTCTTTCATGACTCATGTTCTGGGTACTTGTGCTTCGAGTGTTGTACTTGTGTTACCAGTTTTATCTCTGTGACATTCATTTCCTTGATATCGTTCTCCTCTATCAGTTCCAGGTCTGGCCCCGCCCACTCACACCTGATCCTCCTTACCTCTCCCCAGGTGTTTGTCATCTCCCTCGTTAGCATCCTGTTGTCAGTTTGTTCGTTTGTTCTGTTTCCTACGACCGTTCACGTGTTCTCCGGTTAACAGCTCCTGAGTACTGTTTGCCGCTACATCAGCCTTTTATAAAATTTATTAAGATGTTTTTTTTTGTTCACTCCTGCACAGCAAAAATGCCAGTGTTAATTTAACACCCACAGTGTTAATTTAACACCCACAGTGTTAATTTAACACCCACAGTGTTAATTTTAACACCAACAAAGTGTCTATATGTGTCCACACTCGCTGGTGTTAAAATAACATTTGTGAAAGTGTTAAATTTTATCACATTCTTTTTTTTTTTTTTKTTAATTTAACACCAACCAGTGTTTAATABTCAACAATTCTTGGTGTCACATTAACATAAAAATTGTTTTAGTGTTAAAMTACAGTGTTAACAGTAACACCATCCAGTGTTAAATATTCAACAATACTGGGTGTCATATTAACATTTTGACAGTGTTAAAATAAAGTGTTAAAAGTATCACCAGCTTATTATTAACAAAGGAAATTGTGGTGTTATGAAGGTTTACAGACACCACAARGTGTCAATGCACCATGAAATTAGAGAGTGTAAATTTAACACTCAAGAGTTATTATCAAACTCTCATTAGTTAGTAGAAACTTATAATGGAGTCACCCTTCACACACCAGGTCAAACCTCTCACTCATGGTGTTGATTTTTGGCCAATAACATAAACTTAAAGTTGAACAACTTGATCAAAGTGAACAAGAAAACWAACCAGAACAACTCATTTTTACTSTCATGAACTTCTTTAATAGTCATAAACATGCAAAAACGACATTTCTGCAAGATTTCTCAGCAAGGAATGCTGGGTAAATACTGGTCTGTCTGACATGAGGTGGAAGAGGGTGGGGCTTTTCACAATGCTTCTTTCAACACTGCATGGTGTTTATATAACAACACTGTTAAGTGTTACATAAGACTTAACTGTGGGCGGAGCTTATTTAACACTGTCCAGTGTTGAGACAACACTGAGGAAATCAACACTGTGAATTAACACCAACACTGGGTGTGAGTGTTCTCAGAAAGTGTTAAAATAACACTAGGGGGGTGTTAAATCAACACCCAAAAGTTTAACACTGAAATGTTAACACTCCTGTTTTTGCTGTGTGAGTTCCTCAAGTTATCTGTCRGCACTTTGCGTTCAGCAGTCGCCAAGAAACATGATTGAGCATCTCGTTTACACAAAAACGTTTAATTCTTTTGTCTTAATGTGTAAAATACTAATTAAAGTTAGAATGTCGATTCAGTTATACATTTTAGGTGTCAGGAAAAGTTTTTAAACACAGAATGGGTTCTTTTGATTTCGAACTTCTAGCGCAGGAGTCATAGGGCAGCTGTCTTGTGACAGGAAAGTTGCAGGTTTGATTCCCCACCATGCCCGTATGTTGCAGCTTAAAAAGTCACCCATTGCRTTTGTGTGCATCTAACATTTGCAACGGGTCAAATCCAGAGAACACGGGCTCAAGCAACAAAAAAAAAAAAAAAGGCTCTGAAAAGCTTCCTCAGCAAGCTAGAAGTGGTCTGCAAGCCACTGGTTGATGATCGCATTGTGTTCTAGACACATTTTATTTAGTAAAAATAAATAAAACAAATAAAAGAGTCAGAAATAGTTTTTCTAACTGTAAAAGTTGATTGTCTTGGGGTGATTCACTTGGACACAATGTGTCCGACTGCAGACTGGAGGAAATGCTTTTGTTGCTTTRAGCTCGGTGCATCCTCTGTGGTATTTCAGTCAACTTAATCCAATCAGCAGATGATGTGATTGTGGCACTAAAATCCACAGCTGATCTGATRGAATCACATTGTTTTTACCATTTGTTAACATGATAACCTTTTATTTAAACCCATAAAGGGTTTCCTTTTTTTTTTGCACACATTTATTCTAACTTGGAAAAAAAATAAACATCTCGTCAGGGGGACAAGCCTCCATATTACTTTGCTAAGCAACATTGCTGAGGATGAAGATGAAGCTCTGCAAAATGCTGATGCAAACAAACAACCTACAAAAGCTTCTGTGAGCAAAACAAATGGCATAAATGATCAGATGACTGCAGAGAYGCAGGCGGGATCCAATAATTCTATCTAAACACGTCGATCTGAACGTCTGCCTTCTTCTCACTTTGCATATTTTGTTTTTTTCCCCACTGCTGCCTCTTTCTGTTTACTCATCAGTCCTGCAGCAGGTTGTTTGAGGTCACTGAGCTGTCCATTCTGGTYTTTTCTAAGTGTCATCACAAAAAGGCTACGAGTCCCCGGCCAAACGCACCCTACCAAAAACACTACCCACAACAACAGCAAGAGAAAAAAAGAGTGTTATGTAACACCCTGATGCTGCAGATGTTGTCTCTGACTGTAAGTCAGCGCAGAGAAACGGTGAAGGGCAAAGAAACGACGTCTGCCTCCGTCAGTGTTGGATGTGCTTCACCGCCCACGAGCTGCTCTGACACGGTTACCTGATGTCCTTTCCTCCAGCAGCTCACAGCAGCAGCATGACATCACTGCCTCCGCTCACCCGTRGTGATGCTCCTGCCTCTCTGTGCAGGTTTCTGCTTTACTCCTGCCTGCCTGCCTGGGCTGGGCTCTGGCCTTTTTTATTTTTATTTTTTGTCTGATTCGTTTGGATGTCAAAGAGGGGGGTAAACAGCACAAAGTTGAATTCATTTGTCAGAACTGTAAACAGTATGGGTAACTTTTTGTTTACAAGCTGTCTATGAAGGATCATAGGGCCTGCAGACCCCCACCCCCACAACACACACACACATCTACAATTCCTCATATTGACCAMATGATCAATGGCAATCTGCACGCATGCACTGCAATAAAAATAGAACTCAACTTGTTTTTTTTTAACTCACTCAATTGGATTTTAATTTATCTTTTTTCTTGAAGATGAGGGGTGTAAAATGCTTAAATTCCCTCCCCTGCAGGTGTGTATGCTGGAATCAGAAGATGAGTGAAAGCAGGCAGAGTTGGATTACAGTATAAATGTGTGATTACTGGTGTGAATCAGGTCACAGGAAGTAGCGCACTCTTATCTGGGGCAGAACTTCAGCCACCACAGATGGCGGGGATGCCTCCACTCAGCTGTGCTAAAAAAAACAAACATATATAT